ACATATGCTTCGCTGTCGTACAACCACGATCTATTTGCAGGCTTTATTGTGAAGGAAGGAATTAAAGTGGATGTGGAAGGGACTTGGTTCCGAGGTACCTACACCTTCAGACGCTCATTTAGACAATATAGGCGGAAACTGTCAGAAAGAACACCAGTGACGTCGATTAGGAGCTATATCTCGCAGCGGACAAAGTGGGGATCACGTGGTTTCCCTTCTGGAAGACGAGTCGAACCATAACATTAAGCCGGCGACATTGAGAACTTAACCAGCTGGTGTTTAGCTGACATTGTTTCCACTCTTGATTTTGCGTAATCAGCATTTTCTACTTCTGCGACTAAGAAGCGTAAAAGCAACGGTACTGTACTGCAGCACACGTCTCCTGTCAGCTGTATCATTACAATTATCTATCGCAGAAAGAATACCCCGTGAGAGGAGGAAGATTTCATTTGGAGCTTCCATTGACCTTGGAATCTTAAGCAAACCACTCGTTAACTAGGATTTCAAACCAGATTTTAGACCGCATTCTGATCAGAACCAATTTAGGGTAGGAAAAAAATCATATGATTTTTGTTCCATGTGTAAACGTCAGTGATCCTGAACATAGCCAAATACAAGTTCAAACTGCAAACCGAACAGTTTGTGTACAAATCTGTACGTTACATATTTCTCTGGGCGTTCATTTTTGCGGACATTGCTTGGCTGGAATAAAAATCGTCTACGAGTCGGCTTGCAGGAAACACAGGTATTCGAAAACTAACTCCGATCGCCCCAAAACGAACTCTTGATACGTTAAAGATGGCTACCGCATATGTTGAACAAAACGCATGGATGGTTCTCTGCACTTACGCATGCACACTACTTCAGCACTATGAAGTCCTGAGCTGATTCACTACCGAAATTTCGGCAAGAAACGGAGTGTTTTTAAGATAGCGCAGAAGTAGAAGGGTGTGAAAAATACGTTTAAATAACATTAAGAATACCCTTAATATCATATGGTGGAATCACTCCATCTATCGTTTAGGATGCCATTGACGACCACGAGCCCCAATTCTAAATTTATGGAGTTCCACCACCTTAGTTTGTACAAACTACTCTCTGATATCTGATGATGGGAAACTGTCGAAGATTTTGCGAACAAACAGAACTTGATAATGCCTTAACCTTGACTATTTATTTTCGGTTAGATAATTCAGCGCGGTGGGTATAATAATGCAGCCTTAGAGAACCATTTCCTACTTCCCTTCCCCGCCTCCAAGAGAGCAACTGCAAAGTGTTGAGAACCGCTGATGTGAAAATCTTTTACCGCAATTCAGTTTGGAAGTAATTCAAACTCATAAGAACAGCACGGACGTATACGAGGTCGCCTAGGACGAGTCGCATCCAAAGTTTGAAAACCTTAAAATCTGCTAGTTACTACGGGGGAAAAGTATGATTTGAGCATCCAAACCCCAAAAATTGGCGTTTGTGGTTCACTGACCAATAGTATGCTTTATATAGTAATCAATTTAGACCACCGGTTCCTCATCGAAAAAGGAGCACAGTTCGAGTGTGTGCCGAATAAGTTAAGCCATACTAGTAGACATTATCGTTATCCGTCCTGCAAGAGGAAGTAACCAGTGTTCGTCATTTTTCGAACGTATTTTAACAGCCGGCCTGCTATGAGTAGCAACATTCGATTTAATCATTAAAAGTGCGTCCCCAGTGGAAGACTGTCGCATACCTAATGCATATGAGTGCCTAAATTTGAGCTCAATCTTGGCGTTTTTGACGGCTTTCGTGAGTGATGGTGTTTCGTCGCATCCTTCATTTGGGTAGTCTAGTACCTTTGTTTTCTGAGTCATTACGAAGTAGCAACTTTTACATAGAATACTTTAACCCTAACAAGGACCGCAGATGCAGACATTGCAACACGCATCCGTATGATAACAAAACAAATTATTGGTTTTTCCATTGTTACTTCAAGAGAGATTCCTACTTTGCTACCTTAGATCAGTATTGCAACGTTGGCAAGCTCCGAAAAATCTGTTGTACACGTGATTTATGCGGTCGAACCAACTTCAGTTTTGTCAGGAATAGGCCATTACCGTGGTGGGATAGCACATCAGACTAAAACATCAACTACTTACGTTAACACTTGGCTGGTAAATCCGAGTAGATAGTATGGGCGACCTCGATTATGGTGTTTTCTTCTGGTCATAAGCTGGTTGTCTTCTGAACGGTTGAGTCTCGTGTAAAAACACTAAGTGCTAGCAAAATGGCCTCATAGACGAGGAAGGCTTCTTTAAGGAACTCTATGCCATCCAGTACCTAAGAGTTTAGGTGCGGAATTACTCACTAATCATGCAATTACTGATAGTTTTATCCATCAAAACCGTCGTATCACTTAAGATGCTGATATGGTTGCGGTCTAGACGATGGACAGGAAAATACCTGATGCTCCCATCAGGCATTTGTGTGCCTTCAAATATCTTTAGTCAAATCTTATCTCTGAATTAAAAACTAACTTAAACAAAGACTAAATGAATAACTAGATCATGTGAACCACAAAACATGGATTTCCTGTTTAAGCAACCTCAGTGATAATCACTCGTCTAAGCATCCAAGTTTTTATTCGATCACGGTATTAATTCATACAGGTGTTACGTACTCTTCTTATAGCATTCGAAGGACAGATTTTAGGATGACTTCTCCGGGCAAAGGACTCAACGTACTGATAAAAGCATATACTGCAAATAGAACTAAGGCACAGAATTGTGGAATTACACTCTCTCTCTACTACTCACAACCTACTGCATCCATGTTTTGAGCATTGAAGTAGACTAGTTCACAAACGTTGAGTGTTTAATTGATTGGCCAATTGACTAATAAACTGGTACTGCGGCAAGAAGTTAGTGTGGCCGATTACCATTTCATTACCATTCGCGTCTTGATTGACATGGAGAGTGATTTTATGAGCTGATTATAACTCTTGTTCGTCTGTTCAAGTCTGAATTCAAATTACAGACTCGAAGTGTTTCCGAATGCTTTATGGGACTTATGAAACTTGTGACGCTCAATTATAACGGTGAGAGCAGAAACGCGTGCGCATAAACAATCATTCACTACTTTTTACGTCTAGCCAATCATTTGAGAAACTCGGACACGAACCATTGTTTTCCAACAAGAGTTGGACTGCGAATTCACCGAAATATTTGATCACTTAGCCCCGACCAGTTATTGCTACCAGAAGCATCTTCTAACTTGATTAGTCAAAAGGTCATAACAGGAGAAATTTTCTTGAAAAAGGTACCATGCTACTAGGGTAAAAGTCCAGGGGACTATCTTCTGCAGGACACTGACCTGGAGCTATCTGACAACTTGTGGTGTCACAGTTTGCACCTTTTAAAATTAGGAGAACAGAGGTACCTTGGCTGTGCGCCACATAAATTTTGAGCGTGTCAGTGAAAGCTGTCAGAATAATCTGGTTGATGTCACGCATCAATGGGTGGATTTATCCAATTGTTCTGCTTTTGTTCATCTACCTGATGTATTTTAGTCAGGAGAGAAGACCCGACTGGATCTAGAAATACGACTATGGCCTTAGCATGAAAATGAAGAAGAATTCAAATCCCATTTCCAGGCATCTCTCAGGTCCCTTCCCCGAAAGCATAAATGTACATTCACCTGCAGTAACCAGTAGTCATCGTGATTGAATGAGACATCATTTGGTTTAAAAGCGAACCGCCGAACACTGGCGAAAATCGAGTTTCATCGCGGAAATCGGTCAATATATGCCAGTTTATTTAATCCTGCTAACTGACCGACTATCTTTACTTCTTAATGGCCACAACCAGTCTACTGAGAACTGTCCATGAAGAGAGTTGTAGCTAGCTCCTGTTGACCGAAAGTAGTACATTACAAATATATACATGTATCGCGATATCTCGAATATCGTAGCGACTGAAACATGAGGCGGCCTGGTGCAGCACATTCATTGCCTGAACACACCACAAACGAGAGATTCAGCTGGGTTCCAAATGAGTCTCTCGAAAAACCAAATTAGTTTGCAAATGAGTGTATGTTCGCTAATTTCGTGCAATTTGGTTTCAAGCAGAACATAAGGTTGACGGAAACCCGGAGACTGCGCGTACCTGATGAGTCCCAAAAAAGGCGAAACCGGTCGTGGGTTGTCGACGAATTTTCAGCAACCCTATGAGTAGTACATTGTAAAGATGTCTCTTACTTATGTGGACGTCCTTAAAGCCACTGCGCACCCATCTGTTGCCCATTTTGTATCTCACGTGCTAAAATTCAATGAATCTTTTGGCTGTAAAAGATATAAACTCCTTTAGCAAACTGCACTCAGTTGCATGCCAATTTGGCTTTGGCAGAAGCCTTGCCTTAATATTCAGCTGGGTTCGAGGTGAGTCACCCTTCCGAACTAAGTTGGTGTGCAAATGAGTGCATTTTGCTAATCTCGTGCATTTTGGATTTGATTGGAACTTGGTGATTGCTCCTTCCTGATGAGTCTCATCTTGATGGATCCGGTTTTCAAGACACAGTGGCCGTAGAATCAGAGGTAAAAACGACGAGAACGGGGAAGATGAGCGAAGTTGTGCGTATTCTATAGTGGCTTCTGACAGCGATAGGCCCATAATGAGGTGTCGCCAGTTGCATTGGTGGTTAGCTGCACGATGGTTTTGAAGTATTACCGATAATTCCTGTCAAACATATTACTGATATATTACATCACACTATTTCTATGCCAGGAACAGTGATAGATGAGCTTTGTGAGGAGGTTCTGGCCGACACATGGAGAAAGGACATTGGACTAAAAAACAGTGGTCTGAATGTATCCTGATTCGACAAAATACAAAAGCAGATGGTACAAGGCAAACAAATACTTTTTAAGGCAGAGGGTGCTGGGTAAGCTCACGTCCTTTTTCACATAACTAGAGAAAAAGATTTTTCATAGAAGAGAAGACAATTCGTATCGGCAAGAAAACCCAGAAACTCACATTCCGTTTCAAAGCCAATGTCAGTGCAGTTGACAGACCAAGAAAGATCAACGCAACAAGAAAGTAGGCGAATGCACTGGTTGTGATAAGAGAGGAGCCGGCAAGGCTCAAGATCTGAGCGACAGCAGCGATGACACCGGAACTCGCCTATGAAAACAGAAACGAAGGTAAGCCAGGGAAACTAAGGATTTATAAATTGACATTCAACCATAATAAATAGCACGGATAAAGGAGAACACTCAATAGCTTTACGTGTAAGCTGTAGACAAAGCGCGAAATACAAGCTTTGCATGTACTGATGTGAATGTGATCCGAGAAAAAAACAATTTGAGGATTAAAACGGTGCAACAGTAACTCGAGTTTGGAGCCTGTATATGAGGTGGATGTGGTATCTACAACGATCTGCGAATGAGTTGAAGGCCGCCAGAAATAATACTCTCAACGGACCTACCGAAATATTTTTGAGATACCAGTACAGATGTATGAGTTGCAAAATGACCAGTGTACGTTATTGGGTGTGAATCTAACAAATGGATTACTGAAGCGTCAACTAAGGGGTGAGAAAAAGAAAATATCCAGTAGTTTTGAGTTCTGATAAAGGCGAAGCATTTTACTGAGCAGTTGGCAATTATTTTCAACGGGTTTCAGTCAATCTGCTTATCGTCAGCTAATATTCATTGGAAGAAATCTTCGGGTTGAACAAGACACTCACGTTCGAACAGAATAAAAAGAGGAAAATTTGGCCATGCGTTCGTCAGCAAGACATAAAAGGATCTGCCAACTATGCCTACGAATTGCGCGTGTTTGGGAAATAGTCTTTCAGAGGCGGGAATGGCCCCTCTCAAAGCTTAAATCAACCGAACCGACCATGAAGCAACAGCATCTGACGTAGACTAAGAGTGAACCCAAGCAATTTCCGAAAAATTACTGTATTTCCGTCCAAAATTGAAGCAGAGCTGGATGACAGACCAAACAAAAAAACAATATATTGCTTGCGTCTTAAGAATATTGCCATTGAAAGCACGTAGATCAGTCAAGTGTACGTGTGTCAGCTAACAGTGCTGAGCTTTTGATTCCAATGACAAGCTGTACTGAAAAGTTTAGATTTCCAGTTCACTTTACAACGCTAAATCCAAAAGTCTCTTTCACCGCAAAAAATTATTAGTCTTGAATTTTATAATACTTCAAGCCATACATTTTACTCCCTGTTTGATATTCTTGGCATTCAGCCACGTCTAAATAAAACATTTTTGCAAGCATTAAATTTATAGCAATTTTATAATACTTCAAGCCATACATTTTACTCCCTGTTTGATATTCTTGGCATTCAGCCACGTCTAAATAAAACATTTTTGCAAGCATTAAATTTATAGCCTGATCCTCAAATGGAAATAGAAGTGCATATAAGAATAAATATTTTGCAAACGTCATTTGCCGGCATCCATTCGGCTGTGCGCCCGTCATTTTAAGTAACTCACCATCCACGTAAACACAGTAAATCTCAACCCATATGTGAAACATGACTAGCAAATCATTAGGTACCTGTTTTAGAATCAAGAATAAGGGCCCATGGATCAGTACATCATCACCGTCATTGATAACAATACATAAATAATACATACAGGCGCCGAACAAAAAAGAAATTGAGCATTATTAAAGTGATAAAGAAGCGTTGGGATGTAAGCGTTACACACAGAAGTTTCGTATGCCAAAAGGAAGACGATCAAAAATGAAGTGCCAACAACATATAACCAACGATAGCTAGATAGAGGTTGGCTGCGTATTTATGGTCTACTTTGCAATCGCATTGAACTTGAAAATTTATTTTACTATTCTTCCTATTCCGATTTATTACCATCTACTCGCTGAAGCATCAACCTGCTGGTAACTTGCTGCGGCTAGCAAGTTACAGAGATACAAGTGAAAAAATCTTGAAGATGCCAGGGGTACTCGGATAGAGGAGGTAAGTCTGAAAACCATGAAGTAAGATCGCCCTTACAGTTATCTTTAGCTTAAGCGACGTTCGGTTCCAATGCCAGAAAAGACACATTTTCAAACGCTGCTTGCATCTTGATTACCCACGTAGTGGCTGCCTGTTATGATATAGTCATGGTTTATGTGGCTGGCAAGTCACATAAATCGATAGACTAATCAAGGTCTCCATTCTGAACGTTAGAAAAGCACAAAATGATAGGAACTCCTGAATTAGGAATTGACCCTCTGAAGGACTAAAACATGCACTAAAACACTGACCTGCCTCCGGGTACTTTGTTCGGACAAGTGAGCATCAAACACCAGAAAAGTTTTGTCCACACAACATTAGTCGAGCAATCTCTCTCTAGATACGGCAAATACGTTTACCTGGACTTTTATGACGTCCACTTGTAGCTCACTTGTAGTAGGCTAGCACTCAGTCGCTTCCCTCGTCTACTTTTATTATTTTCTCCACAACAAGGCTTGTAAATAAATCATGGTTGTACTGCAGTAAAACATTGGTGATAAACACAGATGTTATGCTATCAATGATTTAATTTGATCTGCTCAGTTCAGTGAAATTTGACGGCTGTGTTATGAAAAGTACATCATCTTGACGTGTGACATATCTTGAGACATGCCGTATGCTCTCTGGTGGCTGAGCATACGCGGAAGCCAAAAACCCACATCAATATTCACAGCAACTATTGTATTGAATTTAACTATTTTTTTGCGCGTGAATTATGCAATTTAAGACGTGGTGTCAACTGGAAAATGAACGCCGTAGGTATAAAAATCTAATCCGGCATGGTTGGCTTCACGAAATCGTCCACAAACTAAATCGATTCATTCAGGTACTCCAGCCCCATCGCCTTTCAAAGAGCTAAACACCTTATTGGGAAATTTTCCATATTGACAGCACCATGAAGAACTCTTCGGCCTCATGCCACTTCGAGATGACGTTCAGGAACGAGACTTTGAGAGCAACTGCTTGTAGACGCTGCGATCACTGTATCCATACAGCCAGTCGCCTGCGATTAACGGCTCAAACAACCCACAGATCGCAGTTTATGCCCGTTCCAAAGTGGGTTTCAGCATCTCGATGGTGTACAAACGGAGATTCTTTGACTTTGACTTCAACTTCTCTTGCAATGCCATTATCACTGGCGTCACCTTCTGGACTTTATGGCCGACGGAAACGGCATTGCTTTGTGAGTGGATGCAACAAACAGCTATATCTTGGGTTTTGACATGTACGAAGATGGTCCTTCTAGTACTAGTATAGCCAAAGCTCCCCGCTACTTTAAAGATTTAGATTGTTTGCATTTTAAAGGACCTTATAGCATGAAAAAGGGTCTTTTGGTCCAGGCTAGATTATACTGGCGCATGACAGCCCAGGCGCTACTTGAGGTAACAATAACCATTTAGTCCAAATTGAAGACCCAAATGACTCGCCACTTTACCTGATTAAATATACATTCAGGGAGTACTACTTGGTCAGAAATGTGAACGCATAAAGTAGTTCAAACATTTGTCACACTTTAGGGATCATGGTCTGTTTAGCAAGCATCCGTGGGCTGAGAATTGTTTATCTGAAACACTCGGTGCTTTGAGGACATTTTGGAGACGACTATTATCAAGCTTTATCGCCTTCATTGGCCTTTGCTTCGAAAACGTGCTCTGAGTCTTCCACACGTCAATAACCATGTTGTCATCAGACGTTAAACTTTGTCTTTTCCCAACTCAAAATTTGTTAATAATCAGGCACATTGAAGAAAATGTGTTACTCCTGGTGATCTCTCCAAGCAATTGGCTTAAAATCAGGTGAATATTTAACAAAAATGTAGTTTTGCGTAAGCTGGAAAAGATTTGGGCTACTTAAAATTGCCATATGCTCATGGGATTAACTGATGTCTGCCACCGTAATGGAATAGTAGGATATCATCACTGTTTGATTTTCAGCTACACTGACCTCATTCGTCTGCTTACGAATCTTTGCATGTATCAAGGTACCATCAGTATCCAATTTTTGCCTAAGGCGTAATGTTCCTCTGAAGCTGTCTAGTAATTATATGCTCTCGTTAATTTTCTATCTACCACATTAGTGTCGGCTCCTCATTACAGATAGTCTAGGACAGCCCAACACATATTGGAACCATTCTCTAAAAATGTTGAAAACCACCTTTTAAATCACCTGAGTCTTCTTCAGGAGTTCGCTGAAGTCTTCCTAAAATTTATCCAGCAAACTGTGCTGCGAGATGGTTGATGCTGGGTCCATCAGCCCGAAAAAAGCACAGGTAGCCAAGTAAATTTCACACTCTGGGAGCTTCCGTTTTCTGAATGGTCTCTATTAACAGTGATCTATAAAGCATAAAATTCATTAGCGGCAATTTCATTTTTTGCGTTTTTTTTTCAGTTGGACTCAGTAGTATACCTGGAAGCCACATTACCTCCCAGATTGTTAGGCGAAACTAAAGGTGGGTTGCTAAATTTCCCGATGCAGATTCTCCGGTGTTCTATCATACTTTCGAGCAGGACAAAGTTCGCTGAACGGCCAAACATACTGACGTGTGTTTCAAAAAATCATATACACATAGTGAAAACCAACTGAAGGGATGCTGCTCTATAAACAGTTAAGCAACTTTAAACAACATTAACCAACGTAAGCCAGAGTGCGCCAAAATTTAAACTTTAGCCAAAAGCTCATTGGGGAGCCATGTCCAAGAGTAATGCATCCAATACTGACAACTCATGCTCACCTGGCCTTCTAAGAATGCCCTTATATTGCGCGGTGGAAGAACAGAAGCAATTCCCAAAAGCGAACCTTGAACAATGGCCGCAGCGCCTTAAAAGTGTTATGTAAGTCGCGATAAGCTCACTGTTTATTATCACAACCGAACATAACGTGATTCCGAGGAACAGTTGAGCACCTAGCAGAACAATGACTTGGAAATATTTCTTACCAAGCTCAATATGCACGAGGATCACGGTCAATAATATCATTAGGAACACAACAACGCTCCCTACAATGAAACGCACAAACGCGGAAATCCTGAAAATTAGTTCAACTGGAAGTGAATTACCATTTCACAAGAAACAGGTTCAGTATGTTGAACAGAGCCAAAGGAAGCATTGAGCAAAGTGCCAAGTAATTCCCGAACAATACCTGTTCAGGCGACAGTTCTGCAAACATGGCATTTCCAGCAGAATCATCCCGAAGTTTGTATTGAAAATACTACAGAGACATAAAGCAGAATATTCACTTACAGGTATCGCGGTGCAGAAGAAGTTCCAGGGAAGCAAACTCCCTGCTCCCGCAATGAAAAAAATTATGTAGGTAATATTATACCTATTATCAGTTAAGTGACATCACAATCGATTTCATACTTGTCACGGGTGGGTTCAGTGTTCGTCATGCTGTCTATTCTGGCTGACGACTCGTAAGACTCTCTGTTCATCGCACACGAGCGTGATCTTATATAAAAGTTCAATTACGCGGGTGCCAAACAACCTTCACCGCGCACACAATGTATCCCAGAACAACACACAGGGAAACTCATTAGACCCATTTAACGTCAGGTTTTTTTTCACACCATGAAGGACTGATTTACTTTAGGGCTTCGCATACGGAAACAGAAGGGCGTCGAAGCAATTGGAGTTGAACAATTCAACGATGGATACACGGAAATGAGGCCAGCAGCCAAATTCTGCAGATTCATTTTAATTTTTAGTCTGTCCTTTTGGTATCCGAAAAGCAGCTGCCCACAACAAGCATGGGTCTGCAAGGCAAGCAGCAGGACATGAATGAACGCAAACACTCGCAATTTTACAGGATGGCAAAATGCGGATGCACTCTTGAAAACGATACTAGTTCTCCTCTGATTTTCATATTTTGGACTGTAAGGGCTAAAAAATTGTCAACGTCTATCTTACAGAAAATTGTGTTTAATGTTTAGAATACTTTGGGAGGAAGCATATCCTTGTGGTTACAGTATTTTGTGCATGTGTATACTTCAACCCAACTCGTTCATTTAAGCCAGTAGAAAGGCCCCGTTAGTGCTTCCTGCTGTTCGCCGCTCGCAGTGCGAAGTCTGTTGTAATAACGCTCAACGCTCCAATTTATTCTTTAGAACTAGTCTGTTAATCTATTTTCATCTGTGGTATTCCAAAATTTGTTCTTCTGCTGAACAACAGGTCGGTGAATAAAACAACTATCCCTTGGGGCGATATTTACCGTAACTAGAAGGGTTGGGGTGCTGAGTTCAAGGTTACCTACTTGTAGGGAGGGAGCAGGACGTTCTGGTGAAAAGAACGTAAAACTTCAGCGATAAATTTCGTTTGTTACCACGCACGAAATACACAGTTAGAAGTAAACAGTTACAAATAAGCACCTAGTGAATACATATCCTTTAAAAAATGAATACTTTATTGCGTCATCTTGAACTTTTCTGGTCGTTCGCTGACTTTTACACAATAATAGACGGGCGATGCAAACAGGCTCCACAATTTCCGCAGTAAAATCAGCCTTCCAGCTTATGAGGAGCAGAGGGTCAGAGCGCGGTCAATTTCCATGGGTTGCTTTCATGGCTCAACCGTAGTATCCATTGTTACACAACTTTCTGCCTTGAAGGTAGCGTGCAGGCAACCGATATTCCATTTGCCTTCGTTATGTTAGCCACGGTAATTGATCCAGTCGGCAGTTTTTCGCGTGTATCACGCCACTTCCGAAGCTGGGTACCGTTTATTCTTCCTCGATCTTCCACTGTTCTGAATGGCACAATTGTTCGCTCGACGGTCATTATCGACAAACGGGCCTACTGTCCAAATTCCCGAACTCAAGTCCACTCCTAAGGGTTATGATGATAATTCCATTGCACTTTCACAAATATTAGGAATGACCATGCCTTTTTACTGCTGCCGACTTCTGTCTGGATATTTCCAGAAGGATGGGCAGGTTTTTGAGCTCTTCACCGCTCCTCCATTAACAAACCCGGTGAAAGGCGTGTTGTCGGCCACAACACAACATTCCGATCAACTGGAAGACGTGGATGTCGACCGTAAACCAACATTAATTAGGACTTTCCTCTGGTTGAGTAGATCGGCACAAGATGTGTTAACACCAGCTGCAAGTTCAATTCCCAGTCAAATATTTTGGCCAACAGCCACCACTTATTCGTTCTACCAGTGTGTCGGGTAAGGCAGTTTGTTTGCAAATTTCAAGATCAGAGACTGTTTGGATTCTAGCCCATCCACAGGTGTTTACCCATTTTATGTACAAGATAATTATTTATTTACGGCAGTCCTCAATAAGCCGGCGGCTTTCCCTTCTTCGTTAGGCCTAATCTTGTCAGTGTCAGTCCCCGGTTCGTCGTACACGTTTAGTCCCCGTCTACATACTCGTTCCTGTCGACGTGCTGTCAATGTCCCATGCTTACACACTCCAATCAGAACTACCAGCTTAGGGAGATGGTCAAGGGCTGACTGAGGGCCTCGCGCTACGATGTGAGAACTCTGTGGTTTTCCCATCCATATTCCCTAAGAACTTTACTCAACCTACACTGACTCATCACCGCTTCCGTTTTCCTCATCAAAGTGGTTGTCAGAACCCAAAATCTCATCAAATGAGCGCCACGCCGCCGAAAGATCCGGCTACCAACCCTCTTACATTTCGAGGCCGTCGTGGTTGGTGCCCAACGTAACCTAGGATTTTTCAGTTGTACTAACTGACAACTCTTTTCCTCATCAACCCAGAATCCCTCTTTGCCAGCGTCTACATGCTCTATACTTGTTTGAGTTGACTGTGCTGTCTTAACTGGCCTTGCTTTCCACAGACCAGAAAAGACTGGTAGCCGGAGTATATATTGAGGCACAAACCGCATTTATGACCGCTTGGATGATTTCCTACCTTGCGGATCTGGTAGCATGCACGAGGATTTGAGAATCTTGCCTGATGGACATATACGCATTGCAGGGAGGGTCTGTTGCGTTGCGCCATGGTACGTTTGTATACCCGCCACCCCTCCGACGGGTCGGGTGCATCGCCCCTCGCCGGTGGTTCTACGGTCGGCCTTTAAATTCAGGAGAGCAAAAGAGTACTGCCGACTTCTGTTTGTTGCTGCTGGTGTTGGGCTCGCCTCCGTTGAGTTATATATTTGGCAACGCCATGAACCACAAGCAAAAAAACTGGCCCGTCATCTGTCAAAAAAATAATAAATAAAAATAAAATATACACCCGGGATAGCCTGAAGATACTCCGCGATGCCCATGGCCCACATCAAAGAGCACAGCTGCATCCGTCGTCACCAGAACAGAGGCTACAACACAACAAAGCCTACTTCGTTAATCAAGCAAAGAACACATTTGCCTGCCGCTCCCAGGGATTGGACACGGAAGTCTACACCACTAATCACCACTTACAGAGTGAAGCTGATAGCAATGTTTCCAAGAATGGTGGCCGTTTCTCTTACACTTACTTCCTCCCCTGGATTTGTCCAACTTATGCACTTAATAACAGATCGACCAGCTATCTCGGAAGTGCACTCCTGTCAGCCCTTATACATCTAATTTCCATAACCACACCACTACTCTGCATGCTTATATCGGACTTAGCTAGATCGCTTTTAGATAAATGCCTTGTGCAAGAAAACCTTACCCCTGGTCGCTAGTCTATTACGTACAAATCCACCTTTGTCCTCTTCCATATAACCACTGGTCATCACCCTGATCACGACGGACGTCAAGTTCTTCTTTCTATGCATATTAATGCACATTATCCCATTTGATGTCTCCCCAAACTCACCATGCTTTACTAATCACATCCCAGTCCCCAATATTTCCAAGCTTCGTCTACATACTCGTTCCTGTCGACGTGCTGTCAATGTCCCATGCTTACACACTCCAATCAGAACTACCAGCTTAGGGAGATGGTCAAGGGCTGACTGAGGGCCTCGCGCTACGATGTGAGAACTCTGTGGTTTTCCCATCCATATTCCCTAAGAACTTTACTCAACCTACACTGACTCATCACCGCTTCCGTTTTCCTCATCAAAGTGGTTGTCAGAACCCAAAATCTCATCAAATGAGCGCCACGCCGCCGAAAGACCCGGCTACAAACCCTCTTACATTTCGAGGCCGTCGTGGTTGGTGCCCAACGTAACCTAGGATTTTTCAGTTGTACTAACTGACAACTCTTTTCCTCATCAACCCAGAATCCCTCTTTGCCAGCGTCTACATGCTCTATACTTGTTTGAGTTGACTGTGCTGTCTTAACTGGCCTTGCTTTCCACAGACCAGAAAAGACTGGTAGCTGGAATATATATTGAGGCACAAACCGCATTTATGACCGCTTGGATGATTTCCTACCTTGCGGATCTGGTAGCATGCACGAGGATTTGAGAATCTTGCCTGATGGACATATACGCATTGCAGGGAGGGTCACCATATTACGTAGCACCACGATGTAATAGTATACCCGCCACTCCCCAGTAGCACGGGTGCATCGCCCCTCGCCGGTGGTTCTACGGTCGGCCTTTAAATTCAGGAGAGCAAAAGAGTACTGCCGACTTCTGTTTGTTGCTGCTGGTGTTGGGCTCGCCTCCGTTGAGTTATATATTTGGCAACGCCATGAACCACAAGCAAAAAAACTGGCCCGTCATCTGTCAAAAAAATAATAAATAAAAATAAAATATACACCCGGGATAGCCTGAAGATACTCCGCGATGCCCATGGCCCACATCAAAGAGCACAGCTGCATCCGTCGTCACCAGAACAGAGGCTACAACACAACAAAGCCTACTTCGTTAATCAAGCAAAGAACACATTTGCCTGCCGCTCCCAGGGATTGGA